AGAGGGGGGGGGAGGGAGAAAAAAGAGAAAGTGACGGAGGGAGAGACAGACGGACCAGTTGAACGTACACGACACCGTTCCCCTCTCGACCTTCATTTGGAGAAGATTGAATAAAATGGTGCACTCTTTAATGAACTGGAAATAATATGTCAGAGTGCTCGGTCTAGGATGTTATAAGACAAGCTTATGGTTCAGACAAATCTTTGATCGTTCAGCCCCATTGGCTCAAATTCTGAGCCAGTTGTATCCTACCTGTGTTGAAAACTGGTTTGCAGTTCAGTTTTGAAATAACTAATCTCCTTCCAAAACAAAATATGTATTCTCTATTATTCCAATCACAACAGTCAATGCGATCTAACAAACAAACAAACAAACAAACAAACAAACAAACAAACAAACAAACACAAATTAGAGCAAAAAGAAAATAAACAAATGACAAAATGTAATACATTTGCCCTTCACGGTTGTTCAAGAACCAGTTTCATTCGATAACCCTTATAGAGTGTGTTCTCACCTATGTACACTGTAGAATGTGTACTCATCTATGTAAACTGTAGAATGTGTACTCATCTATGTACACTGTAGAATGTGTACTCACCTATGTACACTGTAAAATGTGTACTCACCTATGTACACTGTAGAGTGTGTACTCACCTATGTATACTGTAGAGTGTGTACTCACCTATGTACACAGTAAAATGGGTACTCACCTATGTACACAGTAAAATGTGTACTCACCTATGTACACAGTAAAATGTGTTCTCACCTATGTACACTGTAGAATGTGTACTCATCTATGTACACCTTAGAGTGTGTACTCACCCATGTACACTGTAGAATGTGTTCTAACCTATGGTACACTGTAGAATGTGTACTCCCCTATGTACACTGTAGAGTGTGCAAAAAGGCTCAATTCTAATGTACTCTGTAGAATGTGTACTCATCTATGTACACTGTAGAATGTGTCAAAAGTCTCACTGTAAAATGTTTACTCGCCTATGTACACTGTAGAATGTGTTCTGACCTATGGTTCACTATGGAATGTGTAAAAAGACTCACTAGTGATACCCCAAATATATGTACACTGTAGAATGTGTTCTCATCTGTGTACACTGTAGAATGTGTACTCATCTGGGTACAGTGTAGCGTGTGTACTCACCTATGTACACTGAAGAAAGCGTACTCACCTATGGTGCACTATAGAATGTGTAAAAAGACTCACTAGTGATACCCCAATTATATGTACACTGTAAAATATGTACTCATAATATGTGGTACACTGTATAATGCGTACTCACCTGTGGTGCATGGTGTCCCAGGAGAAGCCGTTCGTGTCCAGCACGCCCTGGAGAGTGGCCTTGTTCTTGAAGAACACCGCCAGGTCTGTGGCCAGAATGCTCTGTTTGATCTCGCTCAGCACCTGACACACAGTGACAAACACAAACACACAGAAGAAACAGAAAGTTTTGCTGTTATAAATTTGTTTTTATTTAAGGGGGGGGGGGCTACACCTGGAGGCTATCTCGCTTATTACAGGACCGAATTTTACCAAATTTCACACATATAACAAGCATAGTAAGGAGTCTTAAAATCCGCAATCAAATTTGTGAAAAATGTTTCGTTTCCATGGATACGCCGCCATATTGGATTTTATTGACATGTCTTACGTAATGAATACCGCACTTATCGTT